TTTTCCGTAGTGGCTACACCAATTTACATTTCCACCAAACCAGTTTTTGATTAATGCAGAAAGTATTTATTGAGCACCTATTATGTGTCAGCCCCCGCATTAGATATAGGAATACACAGGAACCTGGACAGACAAGATTCCTGTCCTCCTGGTTCTTCCATATTAGTGGGGGAGAGAGATAACAAATGAACACAGATACTTTCAATATTGACATAAAATACAGCAGCATGATGTGATAGTGACTAGCCAGGGATAGTGGGAGCATAAATAACCCCTCTGAGGAGGTGACCATTTGAATTAAGAATTGGCATTAAAGATCTGGATATGTGGAGAGTCTGTGGGAGAAAGGTTCCAGAAGAGGGGAAAGCAAGTGGAAATATTTCCCTTGGAAATATAGGGAAATTAAAGAGACAGACATAGACAAATGCTAAAACCAGCTGGTTGTAGATCTGAGGTATTTGAAGAAGGGCAAGGGTGAGGAGCAGGAGCAGAACAAAATGGATTCTGATGGAATACTACAGCAGCTTTGAGGGTGGGAGAGCTATGGTAACCGCCCTGAGGGGAGAAATCCTTTACTATCAAAACATAAACAAGGATATAAAACAGTAGCACTGCATTGAAAAAAATTAAGTAAAACAATAATGTTACCACTTGGAAAACATTTGTCATTTGTCAATATTTTGTCAGTAAGCAAAGTTAAAGATGCTCTATACCCCAGCACTATATTCTAAAACTATTCTGTCCAATATGGTAGCCATAAGCCATTTGTGGCTATTTAAATTGAAATGAGCTAAAATTAAATAAAATTTACTTCTCTAGAGGCAATAGTCATGTTCCAATTATTATCCCATTACTCTTGCATATGTACACTAGGATTCAAGGTCAAGCCTGTTTATTTTATTTGGCTTTACAAAACCTGGAAGAAATCCAGTATTTCAATGGAATAGCATGATTCATGCAACGGAATACTACACAGATGTGAGCGTCAACATGGATACATTTCAGAAACACAATGTTGAGTGCAAAACCAAATGGCAGGCAGTCATTTTTTAAAATTCAAAAACAAGCAAAATTAAAAAGTATATTGTCTAGAGATAGGTACATAGGTAATAAAAGAATTTTTAAGACAAGGAAATGTTAATTACCAAACTCAAAATAGTGTTTGCCTTTGCGAAGATACCACTTCAGAAGTATTGGCACTGTCCTATTTCTCAAGTGAGTGATGGGTAAATGGATGTTCACCCTATTTGTTATAGTAAATGTTATATGTTACCTATATTTTTGTATATATGAAATCATTTTCCTCAAAAATACCACTCTTGGTGTAGTATAAATGATGAACTGACAAGAGAGGAATATAAGCAAGACCTCTTCAGAGACTGTGATTTACCCAGGAAAGTGGTAGATAATGATTTCGATCAAGAAGGCAGCACTCAGCCTCCCTGAAGGCACAGAGGGTTAAGTCTCAGCAGTATGAAGCAATCTGCAGCTGCTGCAGCACTTGTTCGATCCCCTGCCAGGGAGGTGACCCACATGCTCCCCTAAGCAGTGTATTTCAGTCAATTACCAGTCCTACTCCATACTCTGTCTCTGTGAATCCTCTCACCCACCCCACACCTCTGACCTATACCCCAACTCTTGTAGTCATAAATAATTATTTTTAGGGAAAAAAAGGTAGCAATGTATATGGACAAAATATAGGATATATTTTAGAGATGGATCACTTTAACACTAATCCTAATCTTACTCATTATGCTTTGGTAGAGGCTTGTATTGTGTAATGTGGCACATGGAAGGGAAATATCTTAAGTCAGAATGACAGCTTTTAGGAAAGCTTTTCAGAAGACATGGCAGATCATCTGAATTTAGGACAATTAGGAGGTAAGTGATAATGGCTGAGGAAAGACATTCTGCTCGGAGATGATTGTTTAATCAAAGATCTGGGGGCAACAAGTCTCTGTGAATGGAAGACATCAGTTGCATACCTGCAACTAAAGAGAGAAAGACATGAGCCAAACATGGAGGGCGAACGGTACCCACTGAGGGTTCAGACCTTACTCTGAAAAAGCCGGAGGAATGTCTCTGTTTTCCTTTCTATTTGTAAAGAAGAAAGAAGGATTTTGTGAACAACAGCAAAATAAGGCACTGATCAACTGCTGAGAATCTGGCCACAAGGAGGTCCTGGCTAAGCTATTCTGAAAATGTTTCACTTTGTATAGTTCATTTTAATAAAATGATCACCTGTAGTGACCAAAACCTAACTATCAGAGAATTACAGAAAGATTGAAATGAAGATTAAAGGAAAGAGGATCAAATGGAAGAGAAGATAGAGATGAAAAAAGAAATGTTGGACCTGAGAGAAAATAATAGCTAAATACCATTGGACTGTAGATCTTAGTTTACTTTTAGGAATGCTGTTAGACAGGCTTTGCTTAAAGCTACAGTGCACAAAATCAGAGGTGTCTTTGGATCTTCTGTTGTTTGAACTACATTCTTTAATATCTGAAGCAAATATTTCAGTGTAATCATTATGCTATTCTTGTCCTCTTTCCAAAGACTTTTCTGCTGTCTCAAGAAAAGCCTTCAAAATAGAGTTAACACGCAGGAGTTGTGACACAAATCTACATTTTTGAATGAAGAGACTATGTTTTCTCCTTAGATTTCCTTTTTTGTACCTCACCTTACTTTTATTTAATTTCCCTACTTCCTTGTTCTAAGAAGAATGTTTTGTCAGATAAAAGTCAAACTAAATGCATTCACAGGACAAGTGAAAAACTAAAGAGAGAGAGAGAGAAAAAAAACAACTATCAAACTCTGAAAGCAGTTGAAAAAATTAGTCTCTCTTTTTAGGACTGAAAAAAAATTATTCCATAAGAGCCCTCAATTAGGAAACCTGATGTCTTATAAGAAAGGCAGCATATGCTCTATTTACAAATGGAAAGCTGTAGAATCAACCCAAATACCCAAAAAATAGGTATCTGAATTAAAAAGATGTGGTACATATACACAATGGAATATTACTCAGCAATCAAAAAAGGTAAATTTATGCCTGTTGCAGCAACATGGATGAAGCTGGAAGGAACCATGTTTAGTGAAGTAAGCCAGAAAGAAAAAGAAAAATACCAGGGGGTTTCACTCATAGTAGAAGCATAAAGGATAAGGGGGGAGAAAGCAATTGTAATAAAGTAAAAATGAAAAACAATGAACACCTATAAATCACATTTTGCAGGGGTGGTAAGGGGACTAGGATCAAAACTAGGGTGGAAAGAGTGTACGGGACTATGGTGATGGCACATGGGTGAATTAGTGGTGGGAAGTCCTTGGGGTTTACAGCCAAGATAAAAAAATATACAAAATGAAGAATGATGTAAAAAAAAATTTTTTTTTAAAGGAAGCATAGAGTTAACAGACCAAGGTTTAGAGTCTATTAGACCTCGTGTTAAGCCTAACTTTACAGGCTTAAACTGCCACTTATCAGTCTGTCTCCTCTCCAGAAAAGTGGGGTGTTCACTACATCTAAATTTATTTAGTGCTTACTATGCCATAGATTTTACAATATATAAATCTTAGCTTTTTTAATCCTAGCAATAACCTTGTTGCTATTAATATTACTATTAATAGTAGTATAGTAGCTATCCTATTACTGCCCCCAATTTACAGATGAGGAAATTCAGAACAATGAGGTTATAATTTGCACAATGTCAGATACTATTAAACTGATAGAGGTAGGTGACTTGATCCCAGAACCTAAACATTTTAGCTCTTTAAGCCTCAGGATAAAAGATACAATATAAATGAAAGCACTTTGAAATTCAAGTACATTAGACACACCAGTCTAAACAGCAAATTTGCAGATTGATAAATTGCTGAGTATTGCTGTGTGTCATTTTTCTAATTTGTAACAAAGCAACCATTTATGTATATTCTGTTTATGGATGGTTAAGTTTATGGGTGCTTTTACTCTAGGCTTTGACAACTGGAACATAATCAGGACGTTTTTCCTAAGCACATAAATATGCAGCTGTTGAGTTTTCACATTGGCCAGTTTAAATTTGTCTGATGTAGTCAGAAAATCATGACAACCACTCATCATGACAAGGGTCACTAGTAGAAGTCTTAATGAGATGATGGATAGCACTATGGAATCAAAATACTTAATGCCTACATTTAGTGTGATCAAAAGGGCAGAAATCTTTAGCAGAAATATGCATTTATATATGATTTTTTCTTACATCATGGGTCATCTTTTTTTTTTTTTTTTTAAGATTTATTTGTGCATACGGTACAGGCCAGAGTTGCAGGGGCAGTGAAAGGATTCACCAGAGAGTGGGGAGCAGAACAGGCTGACTGACAAAGTACACTGCTGAGGGGAGCAGCGGGCGGGTCAGGAGAGGTCTGCCATGCCATGCGGACTCCTCCCAGGCAGGCGGGGGTCGAACTCCTGCTGAAGTGGCTTTAGCTTCTCAGTGCTGTGCTTTAGCCTGCTGCGCCACCAGGGAGGGCCCCATGGGTCATCTTTTTAAAGTTATTGTTCCTCTTAGGTGGGGCTCACCCACCAATAATCCACTCACATAGCACCACCTGCTGCCTCCCCCCACCCCCATTCTCCTACTCCATCACTTCCATTACACCCTGGTTGCAAGACATAGTAGATCAATGTGCAGCCCACTGGGCTTGTCTTTTTGTTAAAACTTTGTCCTTTTCCTTGGTGAGGACCTGGGCTCTTGGACCACTGCAGACCAGGCTGCTCAGATCTCCTGGAAAAACTAGGGGACAGGTAGCAAGGCACAGCACCAACATCTTGTAGGGTAGGTGTGTGGGCTGGTTCTCCTCCTTGATTTTGGGCTTTCCTGTGATGTAGGAGACTGTCCTGTCTTCTCCAAACCAGTTTGTTCTCTGGGTTCCATGTATCCTCATTCACACTGATTGTTCCATCCAGTCACATGATGCTGCTTCTATGACTACACTTTTGGTGTTGAGAACCCTGCTCTCTGCCAGTATCAGTGAAGAAGTTCCCCAGTGAGGACAGACTCTGTTAGGTGGTTGGAGCCACTCTTCTTCTCTTCTTTTCTGGTTTCTAGTTCTTTCCTGGGTCCCCCGTCATATTTCTGATGTTTTCCTCCCCCAGCTGGAAAAGGAGGAAACCTCACATTGCACACACCTTTGGACTGGGGTTTGATTCCCCAGTCCCTAAAGATATTATAAGTGAAGCTCATATGATAGCTTGCCACACCAGATTATCTCAGGGTCCCATCTCTTGTGGATTAAACTGTACTCTGTACTCCACCCCAAGCAATGACTATGTCAAGGATTTGATTTGTTCCTTTTGTCTCCTGAAGGTCTGCAGCAGGAGTGCCTGAATTATAGGTGTTTGCACCAGTCTGCTTGAAATGGGAATCAGAATGGAAGGGGAACCCCCCTAACCTTAGCTCTACACACTACTGCCACCCCCCACTACCACCAGCCTAGGCCCTAGGGGGTGCTGGGGCCCCCTGCCAGAGACTTAGGTCACCCAGATGGTGCCTTTGAACTGACTGGGACTAGGTCAGACCTAGGTCAGACCTGAGACCACATGGAGATGGAGCCTTGCATTCCCCTCCCCTAGCCTGAGACACCATGCAGAGGTAACACAGCTCCCACCTACATGGAGGTAGAGGCCAGCTCCCCCCACCCCCAAGACTCCTAGACCCTGAGATCTGGTGGCAAAGGGCCCACCCTGCCCCCACCCTGTGGCCTATGCCAGCAGGGGGCACCCAGCTTGTACCTCTGGCCTTGCTGGACAGAAATATTTTCTTAAAAACAAATATGATTCTCATCTCAAATTGGGACAAAGTCCTTTAGATCATGATTTCCAAGTGAGCCAGGTTTGTTATTAAACACTTTTATGAGTACCATAACTATAAAATTCAGGAATTCAAGGCTATGAATCTTTATATCCTCTTTGGTGGAATGTTTTAAATGATGGCTGTGAGCTGCCTATAAAACTTACAAATGACAACTGGAGTTAAAAAAAAAATGACCTGTTTTGGGATGAGAATCTGTTGTAAAAGGAGCGTAGTTTGCAGAATTACACACAAGTCTCCCAAGAATTGTTTCGTGACCATTAAAAACTTTTTAAAGTTCAACCATACAATTTGGGAGCTCACAGGGTCTTAGAGATTATCTTTTGGTCTAGTCTTACTTTTGAGTATCTGAAAGATTATATGACATCCTTGAGCTGAGCAGCTTGTTAGTGGCTGTACCTGGATGAGAGACCCCTTTTTTTCCAAGCAACTTTTCATACATCTGATAGTTTCATGAATAGCTAAAACTTTTCGAGAGCAACGTTAACAATATATAATAAAGTTGTATACAGATTATATGGGAATCCAGCTACATGCTTTGACACCAGTGGGGTTCAGTGAATCAAGTGGGTTGAAGCTTATTCAAAGATTGAGTTCCAGAGTTAAACAAAAATTGATTAAAATACAATTTTTCCTTGGAAATTCCTTGGGCAAGTTTCACCCAAATAGCTCCTTTTAGTACAGTAGAACCAGTTTTTATTGCATTATGGGAAGATATTACTGTTTCTTTGGTTAAAAACCAAAATGAAGTAGTTGGTTTGGCCTAGGGCCAATTGTGTAAGAAAAAGGCAAATTCTTGAACACTAAACCATTTTCAGCCCTGAGGCCCTCACACTTTGAAAGCCATGAGAAAGCTGGAACTGACCAGGTGAGCTGATTCTCTGCCTTGTCTCATGTTCACATGAGGGCACATATTCTTTGGGTTAAATAGCAAGTCTCATGCAGGCACTTTTAAGTCTCTCTCTCTCTGTGGCTTCTTTCTCTTTCTCCTTCCTTCCCTCCCTCTCCTGTTTTTCTTCACTCTCCACTTTTATTTTCTTTCTTTTTTTAACTTAATGTTGAATGTGTTATAATTGGATTAAATGAATCTTTTATGTTTGTCCTGATAAATAGGAAGTACTATGTAAGTTACTTTTTAATGCAAGAGGTAATGAGCCTAGTGATTAAGGACCCAAGAGCCACACTCCTCTGTCTAAGTCCTGGTTCAGCCACTAACGGGCTATATGACCCAGGACACAAGACTTAAATTCTCTGTGCCTCAGTTTCCCCCCTGAATTAAAAGGACACCCATAAATTAAATAGAACCCCTGTGATATGGTTTTTATTTTATATTTTTAAAAGATTTATTTACTTAAGCATATAAGATCTGGGATAGGCCAGAGGTGAGGGAAGGAGGGTGAGAGGTTTCACCAGAGAGAGAGTGGGGAGCAGACAGACAGATGAAGTACACTGCTGAGGGGAGCAGCGGGCGAAATAGGAGGGGTCTGCTACATAATATGGATCAGCTCCCTGGCTGGGGATCAAATTTGTGCTGCCAGTGGCACAGTTCACAGTGCTGTGCTTCAACCCATTGTGCCACAAGAGAGGGCCGTGGTTTGGTTTTATTAATATTGAGCTATATTTAGAGTGCTTTGAAGAGTGCTTATAGGTGCACAACTTTTATTATACTCCAAGTAACTCAGATAACTCAATTTTGATAATTCCTAACAATTTTTTTGTGTTAGTTTGATTTCTTAGTTCCTCTATCCAGTGTTTCCGGTATTTAGTGATCATCTGTAAGGCAAAATGGTTAAATGATTTGTCTTGTACAAATTGCACTGAGTCATTGTGATACTTAGAGCTAAAGGCAGGGTTTGTGACTAGCTGTGTGACCTTAGACAGTTCACTTAGCCTTTCTGAACTTTAGTACCTCCATTTGCAAATCATAAATATTGCCAGCACTTCTTACTTTACAGAGTTATGATGAGGATCAGAAAGATATGTATAAAACATCTTATAAGGTATAAGGTTATATGAAATGTAAGAAATTTCTGTCCAAAATTATATTTTAAGCAGAGGCTGAACCTATTGCTATCATCAAGAGTGTCAGAAGAAATAGACAAATAATTCATGAGTTTCCTTAGCAGCAATTTACTGTAAGAACTCCAGATTGACATTTTCTCTTAATACATACACAATTCTCTGAGTGCTTTTGGTAATGTCCTCCATGTTTTCCAATATTATTTAAGTAAAAACTACTTATGATGTAAATTGTTTGCCATATGACAACCTCATTGTTGCAGAGACAGGTTCTTGAGAAAATATACCTGAGTGTTCAGGAATTTGTTATTAATATATAGTTTTGCTCTATAGTCATTAGCATGAGATTGAGTATAATTTGGATCTTTTAATAAATTGATACTATTTTTTGCATAACTTCTCCCCTACTACTTTGAAGATGTGCTGTTAATAGGTGCAAATCAATTCAAAGGGAAAAAACATCGATTTGTTGTATGTTACTCAGCATTCATCAGGAAGGATAAGAGTTACTATGAAAATTTCCCCCAAAATTAAGCACTTAATTTTATTAAGCTAGATGAAACTTTCTCCTGAATTTTTATTATAATGAAAATACCTGCATAAGTTAGGATAAGTTAAATTTATGCTGCGGTAACAAATTGATCCTAAAATCTAGTGGTTTGATAGAAGGGTCTATTTCTACTTACACATGCACAGATACTCTGTTCCACATATTTATTCAGAATCTCAGGCTGCTCTAACATTTCCACAGTTGCCATATCAAAGGAAGAACCTAAAGAACATGTACCCAATTTACCGTACTTTGCCCATAAGTGACATCATTAATCTCAAAGCCTTTGACTAGAACCAGTCATGTAGATTAGCTAATACCAAGGGAACAGGGACATGGGATGAAGAAAGGATATTCTGTGAGGGATCAATATCTCTGCTCCACCCCCAAATCCCTAAAGTAGTAAAATGCTCTCAATCACATTTGAGGAATGTTACCCTTTCCCCCTCTACCCCCTGGACAGTTCAGTATGGAGGAAAGAACATGAGCTCTGGGGTCAGACTGCCCTGAGTTTGAATCCCAGCTCCTACTTCATGCTAGATGTGGTTGAGCAACTTCCTTTGTTTCTCTAATCCTCAATATCTTCATCCGTAAAATGGGAATTCCAACACCTACCTTTTAGGGTTGTTGCCAAATAAGAAATTATCTACCAAACCCTTTGGCAAAGAGTAGCACATGGTGATTGTTATCATCAGAGGGACAAACAAATATTTAGGGCAGTAGTTCTTAGCTCTATTCCTACAACACTCCAGGAGAGCACAAGTTATCTCAAGGAGTATTGTGATATTTTCAAAAGGCTGTCTAAGATTATTTTAAATTTCTTTTACTTACTAAAATAATTTCTCCATTGGTTATTAGAAGTAGAATCAATACTAATGTCATTCTTGGAAAAGTGTGAGAGAGATGAATTTTTTTTTTAATTCAACCTTTGCCTCTTTTGTGATATCATCCTGGCAACTATAGCTCCCAAGCTCCAATTAGCTGGTTATAAATCTCAGCTTAGTCACTATCTATAAACATTATTAAACATTCTATGTCCTCATTGACAAGTTGGTACAATCATGATTACATCATAGAATTGTTTATAAGATCAAATAATGCAGATAAAGTCCTCAGTACTGTATAACTAATTGTCCCCTGACTTAGTTCCTTATGATCATACCTTTGGAGGGAAGGAGGAGTGAAAACTAAAAGAGCTCCATGAGATCATAAAAGCCTAAGTTAACCTGGGCTGTAACTGGCCTAACAGAATATGGTGTATAATGGTGTGAAAGAATTATCCTACTTCAAGACATGTGTTATAGAATTAAATTTTGAAATTTTTCATTAGGATAATTACATATCAAACACAAAGTTTTTTACTTCTCTTAATGAATCAGAAGCTCTTTCCTGGTGATACATTTAGCCCTCTTTTATACATAGATGTATTCATGATTTGCCACAATCCCCACTGCTCCACGTGGTTTTGCATCTAGCTTGCTTCATTCACTGATCTTCTTGGTTCCTATAAGAATTTGAATTTATGACCATTGACCAATACTTTCATGAAGATAGTCATGGTGGTTATCATGGCAAGGGCAAAGTTGGTTAAGGAAAGGAGTTATAAGCTATTTTCGGTGATTCAAGAAATTCTAATGGCAATTATTATATTGTTAACCTCTAAAAGACTATATAGGTTAACTAAAGTATTATATTTCTTTGCTTTTAAGTGGAATTACATCAATTGGATAATATTGGTGGCATAAAAAAAGCTCAGGCTGATAAGAAGACATCATTGGTACATGTTTTTAAAATTGGGAAATACTACTGTTTCATAAAGTTTGCTTTGATAGCCCTGTTCTTAAAAAGGGGGTTAGGGGGCAAGAAGAATAAAAATGGTAACTATAAAATATATCTTCATTGGTAGAGAGGTTGACCAGGGAGTAACTTAACTTTTTTGTTTCTCCACTGATAAGAAATAAAACCAGAAGGAATGTTAGGGTTTTAACTATCTCATGGTAAACAAAGAAGACATTTGGAGAAAGGCTATGTAGACCTCTTTTTAGTCCTGAAATTTCTAAGATCTTTTAAGGTAGGCTCTAGGCTAACTTCACATTTTAATGTTAACTATACATATAGTTTAATAGAATCTTATTTTTAAAAAATATTTGTTTATTTATGAACAAGAACTGCGGTATAGGCCAGAGGTGCAGAGCAGGGTGTTGAGAGGATTTTCCAGAGACAGAAGGGAACAGAACACGAAGGTCGACTGAAGTACACTGCTGAGGGGAGCTGTGGGAGAGACAGGTGAGGTCTGCTGTGTCATATGGGTCACTTCACTGGCCAGGGATCAAACTCATGCTTCAGTGGCTGTGGATAGTTTCACAGTGCTGCAGCTTAACACCTTGTGCCACTAGGACTCACAGCTCTTTTTTTTTTTTTTTTTAACAATAAAGCAAAATAAA